ATCCTTCGTCAATAGAGCCAACGAGGGGCATCTGAAAGTGGTAACCGAACGTGCCTGAATGCTTTCCTAAGTTCCAAGGGTTTTTAGGTGAACTCAGGCATTACACAAGAGAGCTGGTTGATGTCTGTATCATTTCTCTTCGGCCTTTACCTTCCTGTCACTTTTATTCTAGAACAGTCCACGATCAATAAACCTGCTACGAGTAGAACAATAGATACTACAAAATAAAAATAAGTAATAATAATTGTCTAGCCAAGCTCACAGTACGGTACTTATGTCTCCTTGAGAATAAAATGTAAAAGGGCCAATGGTGCCGTCACGATACGTTTGTTTCGAGTATCAATTCCCTGAGTGACATCCTTCCAGACCAGCGATAGGCTCATTGATTCAAGAAAGGATACTTGTTACTAGACCAGTTTGGGGGGGGGGGGATAAATTCTAATATTTTGACTGGTTTGAATTCAAAACTCGGGAACCTAGGTTGACCTCAGAAGGAATCCACTACACCCACCTATTCACTCTTACTTTGTTACTAGGAGTAGAACTTTTGTGCTTTGTACAATGCCTCAATAAACCACTACTCATGGACCCTCACCGCCATTTTGTAGCCCATGATATTATTCTAGCAATGGGAATAGTGCTGTGAACGAATCCTTTCACAAGCTTTTCAAAAAAAGACGTAGAAATTCACGGCATTGGTAAAGTGCATTTGTTTCGATAATTATGAATACATTTGCCTTATTACAATCTAACACGCACTCATTTTCTCTCGATTTTTTCCAGAAACGATATCCCATGTGGCTATTTAAGGTCTCCTCAGGAGAATTTCCCATGGAATATGGTGACGATCGCATGGCGTTTAAGTAAGCTCATATACCTGGCACGCATCAGTGCTTCCTCTTCACTGTTCATTTTGAAGCTAAACAATGCCGTTCATCATAGCCAAGTGTGCTCTTTAGTCAATTAATCTTCTCTATAGCATTTATGCCCTACAGCAGCTGAGAAAAAGAAGCACCTGGCCCTGGTTACTGCTCTAAGGATTGTTTGGTTATTTATTATGCAAAAAAAAAACTAACCGAGCGGCTGTTCCTGTACCACAAGCATAGCTTAATGGATGACAACTTTCCAACCATTTACTCTCTCAAAGATTCTTTTTTTTTGTTCTTATTTTTTATTCGCTTATTTGATCAAGATGGAGGGGATACAGTCGCAAGTGACGCTATCACACAGGAGATCGGGGATTCGAGGCCTACCAAGTCCTTCGAACAGCAGGATGGCAGACTTGTTTGGCCTGGCCTGGGCGGATACCGATCTGGGGTTCCGTCGCCGAACCATGAGACCTATATGTGGTAGTGGTGCGCGACTCGTCAGTCCACTACCGTCGCCCATAATTAAATACTACATAAGTAAATAGTCAAGTAGATAAATATTCGAAAAGCTTTAGGTAGTCGTCGAGTTTTCCAAAATTTGATGAGAATCGAATTCGAACTAAACCAGTAGTAGTTTACAAAGGGTCCTCTCAGGCTCTCCCGTCTACTAGCGAATAGTGTGTACGAGACTTTCTCTTTTGTTTACTTTTTTATTTGCCTACTCCACCGTTTCCGCGCATTTTGTTTATTTCCTACGCTTCATCGAAATTTTCTCTTTTTATGATGAATCTTACTAACTTCAGGTCTTATTACTTCGATGCGATGCTGTCAATCTTCCTTACGCGAAGCCATTTCCTTTTTCCTTTAACATAACTGCATTTCCCTTCCCAGCGCTCCCTGATCGCCTATAAATCATATTAATAGAGCGAAAGTCGGGGAGTAATGAGCGTTTCCTTTTTTCAGATTCAAAAAGCTTATTGGCTCCAACTAGATGAAAAAATTAAAGCATTATTGTGAATGGGAAGATGAAGGAGAGTGTTATGGGGCTGTTATGAGGGAAAAGCCTCCATCCGGTGCCAAAGCGGTTAGCGATTTTTGGCAGTTGTCTCCCAGTCTGCTTTCCGAAACCCTCAACTGTCTAGTCGTTGCGGGGTATCTCGACAAGAGGAAGGAGGAGAACGCAAGTGATCGCGGGATGGCCTTCTGTCAAGTATCGGCATAGTGTAAGAGGTTTTTAGAGGGAGTAGAAAAGTAAAACATTGAGCCATGCTCTAAGAAGCGCCATGCATCCGTCTTTTTTCGAAAATCTCAAAGAATCCTCCGGTTCAAAGACACAACAGTGCATAGGTGCCAACTTATGTTCTCCATTGTGTTTTTCTCATTGCGAACAGGCAGGTGACAGTTGGCAGAGAACAGAGTAATTATGAAGGGTGTCGGTCAGGTTACCACCAAACCTATCGACTGTGGAAATGGTATCACCTGTATTACCTGTCTTCCCGCTAATCATCGGCCTTCTCGACAGAGGTGAATGTAAACGTTACTGGTACAGGTATATGGGAGTTTTCATCTTCCCAGACGAGTCCAAAGCCAATTTTACGGGAAAGGAAAAGGCTAAGTTCGTCTGGGAGGGTATCGATCCAGAACTCGACTTCCAAATCATACTTATGACAGCGACACCAGTTGGCAGAGGCTCTTTGTAAAGGTGAGCAGACTCAGTCATGTCTCTCTCTCAGGCTCATCCAAAGCAAATTCTCGCAGTCAGGCTTTGTCAGACGATCAGTCTTCGTTCTCTTTTCTTTTTTTGTGACATCCAATCAGCCGTAATTGATTATCTGCATTCTAAATAAATTTTTTTGTTTTTCAGTCGATAATAGAGACACCGACTATGGCTTTCGTAATCTGGCATGATAGGCGATGAATGCAATGGGGTTCTTCCTTAGGCGGATATCTTAGGATACGCCACGTACATATGCAGCCGGCAGCAGCGACTTTCAATCTGTTCAAACTTGAACCATTTCAAAGTTTTGAGAAAGTAACTCCTAAATCGGGGACTTCTCTGCAATTCTTTCGTTTAACCAATCCAAACGCAACTTCCTGATTAGGACTTTTCGTAGGGATTCTCGTCTTCAGAAATACACCAATCATTTTGTCGCTACGAAAAATTTCAACTCATTTTCAGTTCCATGGTAAGTTGAGGACCGGGAGAGGTCTGTTGGCTGTATTGGGCGGAATCTGATCCTACCTAGTCCTAGTGAGCAAAAAAAAAACTAGGCTAACAATGGCCACGATGTATCGGAAATAGCAAAGGGAGGTATAGCCATATATAAACGCGAAATACTATTGAATAGGAGAGTGGACCCGAACTATCATTTACGCGAACATTCTGATCAGGGCATGGCTTCTTTCCAATCTCAATTCTCGATTAAATTTGTGGTTTCCTTGATTCGCCGATCACTTCTGATCGTAGGTTTCTCATAATCCAACGGTTTCGCATCTCATGGTATCGATTTCAATGAGTCTTGTTTTACTGTATATACCGTATACCATTTTGCAATAGTTATTTCGTGGTTGTTCGTTGTCTCGTTCTTATTGCGACAAGCACTGCTTGGGCGAAACGCATCTGTTTCTCGTAGCGATCATTGCACCACCACGTTCTCATTCGTTCATTTTCGCCGTACTTCGATGCACACTTCGACTTTTGCTCAGATCTAATGGGTTCCCAATTCCAGATTTCCCACAGATATCTATCTACCTTCTGTTGCTAACAATGGGCAACGCAAAATCGGCCGAGATCAAGGAAGAACCGGTTAAACGAAAACCCAAATTGAGTTCGACAGATCGAAATTCCTCTATGACTCGAGAAAAGAAGATTTCCAGGTATTTTAATTTTGAATTTTGCAAGCAAAAATGCGCGTCATTTTATCTTCGATAATATTTCTCGCACACCTTGATGATCTCCATTGAAACCATTCCGCCTCACTGCTAAGCTGACCAAGACAAGCTTTGAAGCTTTCCTCCTGTCATATTAAGCACTCCGAAAGCCTCTGACTCCCACTCCACTCTTACAGGATGCAGCCTTTGCCCAGATTTATTTGAAAAAAATCAACCCGTCTGAAGAAATTCAGAATCGTTTCGACATTTGAACGTTTTAGGTTACGAGGCGGAATCCATGAGCGGGTTTCCTCAGGTTTTATTTTAAATAAACTGAACTACGGTACACTCATATTGAGATCACGGAGATAGTCTGCATTCTGAAGAGGTCACAAAGCTCATTTCCTGTAGACCTAACAGTCAGGAAAAGCACTGAAAGATGAGCCTGGGCTTAGTGACACTCATAAATTGAATGGAACTACATGTTCGCTCTTTCCTTTGCATTATTACTCATTTTCAGTTGACAGTTGTCCCGGAGGCCTGATGTATCACGTAGGAAACATTAGGAAACTGCAGGCTAAGGGTCTGCTCCCAGACATTCGCCTTATGACGGCTCTGTTTTGGGGAAGTTCACCGTTGCCTTGTTAGCCATCTTCGAGGGAATTTTGCCCTCCTTACGAGTGGACAAAGGGAAGAAAGGAGACTGACAATTGATTTGGGTTCAACCTTTCACATTTCACCCCTTCCACCCCCCTTCTCCCTTTCCTTTCCTCCATCCCTCTCTCTCAACCTTAGAGATCCGTATCATACCCGTTATCCTGGTACCATATCATGTTCAAGGTTGAGTATTCATTCATTCCGAAGACCTACAGTACTCGAAGACTTTGATCAGGGAGGTACAAGCTTCAGCGGTCGAAGAAAACGGTTAAGTTCGCTGGGCGGTTACCGAAGGGAAAGAAAATTTTCTCTGATATTTCCCTACCACTTAGAAATAAAATACTATTCAAAAAATTCATGAGTAATAATGTAATCGTGATGCAGTTCTAGCAGGCAATCCAACACAAGTCTTGACAAAAGGAGATAAGTTTTTTCCTTCATTCGACTAACTGAATGCGTGGAATATAATGTTTCTTCGTGGGCTAACATCGTGATCGTGTAATTTCTTTTGTGGAAATAGCGATGTGAAATGCTAAATCTAACATTTTCCAGTATTATTGCCATTAACTATAACATAATTTTTCGATTACTGCAGTATAATATATGAGTAACGGTTTCAGGGCTTCGGTATCATCACAAGGTAATCGCAAACCATTTCTGACCGTCAATCAACGCTCAATCATTAAATACTGCATCGATAACGCCAAGGATGATATAGGTAAGAGCTTATTGGTGATCTCATAAGATAAGCTCTGATAAGATGATCTCATCCGATTCCAGCTGACAGAATTATTCGCCGTGCCATGGAGAAAAAGGATGATTTCAAAATGTTCATTGATAACCTTACACGGGTATGTTCCTAAACTTTACCGTATGCCCTCTTAACTTCGTACCGTATGCTCTGAGAAATGTAGCACGCATTCGATTTTGGGTCAGTATTATAGTGGCGTATTGAATGCGAGTGTGGCTTATGCTATGACTTACGGTGTCTGTCTAGTCGATGTAGAAGTCAGTGCTTTTTTCCGCCCTGTCGAGCTCGGTACCAATTAACCGACCCCGAGGGATGGAAGGCTCGGGTGGTTCAGGCGGATATCAATCCGAGTTTCAACCCGTGACCATACGTAGGCGATAGTGCGCCACTTGCCACTACACCGTCACTATATATAATACTGTATGATGAATAGAATTACATTTTTGGGTTACATGCAGTAAGGTGTAAATCCCAGCGAGAGGCGACGGCCATGTTTGGCTGTTTCCGTGAATCTGGCTGCCCTTCATTGTGGAAGGCACATTTGCTCGGACTGCTTGATTGTAACCTGTAACCTGCAACCTGCCCACGGCACAGCAGTTCTTATTGCCCTTCTATGACTTACTTGACACGTTGAAAAAAGATATTCATTAAAAAGAAACGGTGCTCTGATGTTAAGCGGTCCGGTCCAGTGCTCTGAACAGAAGCGACGGAACAAAGCTGTGCTTAATTTAGGAATTAATTGACACCTTAAATTTAATCACTAACCCCCGTTGCCATTTGAAAGGTCAGGCCATTTTAATTCTTGTTTTGCAATCGCTCGAAATTCAACCAGTTTTTATTCAATTCTAGCTTATTCCCTACCTCATTTCCATTACCCGTACAACACCAGGAAAAGAATAGTGAAACTGAGAAGAACATACGCAGATTTTCATTATTTATTTACATGATTGTTTATCTTGTAGCTCAGGCCACAACGCTCACAATCATTCAGAACATTAGGTCGTCAGGAAATTTATGTTTGAAATGTGAGGTCTGGAGGAATAGAAGATTACTTTCATATCTTTATTTCCTTCTTGTTTACTTGGGTGAAGAACCTTTCAGGAATCCTATTTTCTCAGCGGAAAGTCAGAAACTAATAATGCCGGAATTTTCTGAAAAACGTTACCTACTGGTATTAAGCTCTCTCGAAGACAAAAAAGAACCTTCTCCCAAAAGCTGGCCATTAGGTTATAAATTTCAATGAAGAACGCTTATCGGCAACATTCTGTGCATTTTGTGAAAGTAACCATAAACATTGAACTATCATGGACCACATGTTTCCCTCAACTGCGTGGGGCCATATATATCAATGAAAGTTTCATGGGAGTACTTTTCAATGCATTTTCACCCTCTACCGCTCTATCGAAGTTTTGCACTGAACAACTGCCATCGCTCAGCTGAACGACGTCTATCAAAACACATCCGTCACCTGGGTTATAGGCTGAGTGAAAAAGCCTGCAATTTCTGCAACAAATGCCGACCGATGAGTTGCTCTGAGAACTTCTTATTGATCCCTAAATCACTGTCAATGAGGGTAAATGATACCCTCTTTCGGGGATTAGCTCCAAGGTATAGCTCATTTTGCATCTCCGCAGAGCTATACTATAGTGGCTCCGGACTGGCCCTGATACTTGTGGTGTCGGGGGGTTTTCACGCCCAGACAGCCGCTGTTTATTTTGAGTCGACATCAATCAGATGCCGACAATAGCGTGGGCCGTCATTGAGCGAGAAAAAAACCCTGATGACGTAAATCGCCGAACATTTGGACCGGATGGTGTTGGTACAAGCCGGAAACATCTTGGAAAAACAATAATGCCTGATGACCAGCTTTTGAATGGGAGCGCAATAAAAGCAAACCGCCAAATCAAAAAATTGAAGTGGCCCGGAAAAATTTAGAAGCAGCTCGAATGCCATGGGGAAAATCATCGAGGCTGTAATGGGATATATGTATCTCTGTGTCCATTTTTTCCACCGCATGAGCCTAACCAGGACTCGCTTGTAGTATTTTGTCAGAAAATCTTGAACTTGATAGTTCAATTAAATTGAAATCAAAGAATCTTCGCTAATAAACGCATCCAACTGGCATAAATAAAGAACAAATGAATAAGCAAACCTTCCGAATTTCTTTTTCATTGCTTTCAGAAACTAAAGAAGACAACGAACGAAAAGTTCTCTCCAAGTTTTTTGCCAAAAAAAACTAACAAATGAAAAACTCCTTCTAAGTTCCTTCTCAAAAAAACTGAGAGACAAAGAGAGAAAAACTGAGAAACAAGAGAGACTGCTTGAAAAACTGAAATCCTCACAAAACAAGTTACATTCTTTCCAGGCACAACGCAGCGAGGTCTCTGAAGCATTACGGGTATTTCTGACGAGTATCTGCGATATACTTACCGATTCTGATGAAATCCAGCGGGTAGGTAAATTTTTCATTCGAACTGTCGATTTTTGGTGGACTTCTTCAGCAGTGGGATTTGAGCTCAAAAAAATCCAGTTGCTATTCTCGGAAGTACGTGTCTCACTGAGCTTATAGGCAGATATCATCAGAATAACTACTGGCCCTTGTTGAAGTTAGAATAAATCGAGATAGGCCTTTGCCTCATTCATTAATGATGGCGTTATACAGAGTTTATTTGTAATCACCAGATAGCTAGCGTTAAGAAAGGTGAAATACCTTGGTCGGCAGGGTTAGGATACGACTTGGTCTTTAGCAACCACTGACAATGGAGACCGCAAATGTCTTTTACGTTTGGTATTCGACATGCACTCCGTTTCCCCTGCCCCGACCATACCCCCCCCCCCCCCCCCCCCCCCCCCCCCCCCCCCCCCCC